TCTCCTTGATTAGTTTCCATCCATTGCTTCTTGTCCTGCCTTCAGGCGCTTTGGAGAATAGCTTGACTCCCTCTTCTTTGTGGCAGCCCCTGAGATATTGGAATACTGCTATCATGTCCCACCTCATCCTTCTCTTCGTTAAACTAGACATACCCAATTCCAGCAACCGTTCCTTATATGTTTTAGCCTCCAGTCCCCTAATCATCTTCGTTGCTCTTCTCTGTACTCTTTCTAGAGTCTCAACATCTTTTTTACATCGCGGTGACCAAAACTGGATGCAGTATTCCAAGTGTGGCCTTACCAAGGCATTGTAAAGTGGTATTAACACTTCACGTGATCTTGATTCTATCCCTCTGTTAATGCAGCCTAGCACTGTGTTGGCTTTTTTGGCAGCTACTTAGCCCTGTCTATACCACTGGTTGACACTTAATCTGATAGTCCTTGTTTAAAGATTGGTCGCTTAAAGTTCATTCAAAGTTACAATGGACCCCTCCCTCTCCCCAAAAAATCTACTTACAACTCAGTTCTGGAATTCTGATAGCTGCATACACACTTATGGTCATACGATTACATTTTGGGTGTTTGGCAACCAGCTCAATTTTATAGCCCATTGCAGCATTCTGCGCTCTCATGATCCTGATTTGGAACTCTTTTTTTGCCATTTTACAGCATTTTCAGCCAGTTACTGGCAAAACAAACAAACAAACAAACTTTCCATGGGAATACATTGATCTGCTTAACCACTGCTGCAAAAAAAAAAAAAAAGTTGTAAAATCATGTGGGTGCTTTACAGCTTACAACAGAAATTATGGGCTCCGTTATGTGTCTGTTGAGCAAGGAGTTCCTAGTACTCAATATCCTTTACAATAATAAGGTGTTTCAATTTCAAAAGTGAAATCTTAAATTCCAGGTAGGGGGAATACTGGAGATTACCCACTTTTGGAAATCGCGTTGCATGCTCTGACTGCAGGTGTTCCGGTGTAAATTCTCCGCTCTCTTCCAGGAATTTATCCCTTGATTCAGTTTCCTCTGGGCAGATCTTCTCTATACATAGGCAGAATTAAAGAGGCAAACAGGCAAAATAAAAGTGACTTCATTTCATTTCATTTATTTCAACCCCATGTATATTTCTGGTCAGTCAGGTACACTGTTCAGGGCCACTAGCACCAACTAAACTGCAAATATAAATTAAAAAGTTTAGACACTCCCCCACACACACACAGACACACACGCTATACTAGCATGAATGAACAATTTAAAATCTGCTGAAGTAAATGTATTTTGAGCATTCTGTTTAAGAGAGAGAGAGTAGAGGGAACTCCTTCGGGAGGGCGTGCCATGGCCCGGAGTAATACAAGGTAAAATCCTCTCTGGCGTGCCAAATAAATGTATCCCTGAGAACAGAGGCATCTTTAGAAGGGCATCTCTAGCTTCGTAGTTTGGTTACAGAAAAGGGGTCCCTGAGATCATCCATGTTTAACCGAACCAATTGCTTTTTTGGTGTTATATGGCTGCATCCCGATCCAAAGTGCCAAATTATCTCTGCAGCAATTTAATGCTGTAGCTTCTTTTTTTTTCAAGCCTCTGAACTAATTTGGAAAAAAAAAGCACCCCTGCTCTAAGGAGCTGTCTCATTAAAGTCGCTATGTCTTCAATGTGACTCCTTGAAATAGGTGCATGTGTCTTTAGGATGACACTTTTAAAGAGATCTTAATCCAGGGGTTCCCAACCAGGGGTACGAGACGATATTCCAAGGGGTGCAAAAACTTGGGCTTTCAAAGTTGTAGTGTATATGCATAATACTTTGCCATTATTTCAAACTTTTGTAAGGGTTGTGAGAATATATTAAAAGTGTTCTAGGGGTGTGGGGTATACAAAAGGTTGGGAACCACTGTCTTAACCTTTGTGTTCTTGCCAATTCTGAAGCAGCTTAGAATCGTTTTTTTAACTTTTTTTATTTAATATATAAAATATAAAATTCAAAGAAAAAAAACAGAAATAGGGGATTAAGGGAGGGAAACAGAAAGGGGAAGAGAAGGTGTAAGGTACAAGGGAAAAGAGAAAAAAGGTGTTGACTTCCGACTCTTTTTAGCACAGTACAATTTAAAAGCACTCAAGCCTCAACTTTTTTTTTGTTTTTACATATTATTATACAACTAGCCATTTCTATAGCAGCAAATCTTATCTAATCGACAAAACCAAATTCAAAAATACATTTTTTTTAATCACAAGCACAAAATCCAGAAGTGGCATCCAGATGAAAAACATATTCCTCTTTAAATGGAATGACCAATTTAACCATTCCTGTGAAGCAGCTTAGAATCTTATCTAGTTAAATCACTATACTATCTCAATCATGCATAAGCTTATTAAACAGCATAGGGTACAAGATTTCTTGTGACATCTTAAATTCCCTTTGGGGCTGATTGAAATATTTGCAGGTTTTGAAAGAAGTTGTGGACCATAAGAAGGTTCACTCAGTCGTAGAATAGCTTTCACCGAGGAGAGTTCACCACTTACAAAACATCTGTTTTTCAGATAGGATCCTCCTGCAGGATACTCTCTAGTGTCCCTGCTTATCTTTGTTCTTTTACTAAGTAGTTGGGCACATTGCCTATACCAGCGGTTCTCAACCTGTGGGTCGTGACCCCATTTGGGGTCAAATGACCATTTCACGGGGGTCGCCAAACGCGATCCACCATTTTTTTTGTCAGCTCGTGGCACCGCACATGTGCGCAGTGCCGCGCATGCACACCACGCCTGGGGCAGCACCACGCATGCATGCCATGCATGGGAACAACGCCGCGCATGGGGGCGCCGCCGTGCATGCACGCCACGCATGGGGGTGCCATCACGCATGCGTGCCGTGACTGTGGGGTGTCACTGCGCATGTGTGTCGCGCATGGGGGCGCCGCTGCACATGCGTGCCGCGCGTGGGGGCGCCGCCACACATGCGTGCTGCACATGGGGACGCCGCCGCACATGTGCGCCATGCTGCACATGCGCAGTGCGTCCTTATGACCGGGGTCGCCACAAAAAAAAGGTTGAGAACCACTGGCCTATACAGTAATTGGGCTATAGACATCCATAGTTTTTTTTTCGTTTTGTTTTTTGTACTATATCAGTGTTTCTCAACCTTGACAATTTTAAGGCATGTGGACTTCAACTCCCAGAATTCCACAGCCAGCGTTGCTGGCTGTGGAATTCTGGGAGTTGAAGTCCACATGCCTTAAAATTGTCAAGGTTGAGAAACACTGTACTATACTGATGAACAAAAGTGAAGCTGAAAATGAGCACTTTGCTTTTTCAATATGGCAACTTCCTATTTTTAGTGTTTTTAAAAACTGTGAAAATTAAGTCATTTTTTACATTTTTTTTTTTTTTTACATTTTTACAGGAAACAAATTGCCTACTGGGCATTGAAGGAGACTAGGCATCCTATGGGGACTGAATTGCTAAAGTAATGGTCTGTGAGAAAGCCCTTGAAAGACAGCAGCAGGAGGAGGAGGACCAGCTGTAGACTAGGCAACAATCAGATCAGAGGCAGCTTAGTCGACAGAATGTAGGTGTAGCCAACTTCTCAGGATAGACCCTCCCTAGTTTCTTGGGCTGTAAAGGCAATTCAGGGGGTGGGATATGTACTTTCAGACTTGCAAAATTCTGTTACTGTAACATTACAATAGGAATAGTGTTGGTATTAGTGATCGGTGCTTCTTGTGTGGACTATCTCCAAGGGCTCACAGGAACAGCATTTACTTTTTGGGCATAGGCTGATAGGAAGAACCAAAAATACTGCAAGCCCATCCCATCATCAATCCTCTTGAATAAAGAACTAGAGTTCTTCCCATCCGGTTTTTGAAATAGGTTGTCACCCAAGGCAAAATAAGCAGTCTCAATATTATAGTCATGGGTTTCTTTTTAACTGCTTGTAATTTTTCCCCTTCTTCAATAGAGCAGCATTGAATTGTAAGAAGACCCTTCCTTGGTTTCTCTTTTGTTCCATCCTTCCACCATTTTCAATGTTACCAATCTAGCCTCTATATACACTTCCTGTTTCTGACAGGAAATGCAGTCTTCCCTATACTTTTCATCTGGGTCACCTGCCCTGCTCTATTATTTTTGGAGCATTGACAGGCTTTATTGTATGGGGTTTTTTTCACTAAGCTCAGCTTGTTTTTCTATCCACATTTCCACCTGGCCCTGAGATAACTAAGTTTGGCTTATCTGTTTGATCAATCTGGACATCTGCCCCGATCAATGGTTTGACCACCCACCACATCGTCCAACTCACCTTCCTGTCTTGATTGGAGGGAGGAGTCTGTCTATGTTTGCTATGAATGCTTCGATGAAGCCTTAAGGAAAACTTGATGATTCTGATGTAGCTTGTCATATGTTGGGGCACGGCCTCCTGCTTTTAATGCTCCTTTTTTAAAATGACTTTTTTTTATTTTAAAAGATCAACCAAACTACAAAAACAGTCTGTTATAAAAATGCTTCACTAACTTTGTCTGACACTTAACTAATAGCTTGCTTTCTAGAGCTCCCTCTTTTTTTTTGATCCAGCTGCTGCAATATCATCAGACTCTTTTAGAATACAGAATGAGGAGTTAAGTTCTTTTTTTATTATTATTATTCTTTAGCTAGAGTGACAGAACCTACCTGTAATCATTCATCATCCTCAAATTGACTCATGTCTGACACTGTCAGCTTTGAAAACCAAAAGATACCTGCCAGCTGAAAACTATTTCATCCTAATCCTAAATAAATGTAACTGGATCATTGCATATACTATTTTTTTTTTTTCCTCTTGAGGGGCCCAGTAGAAAAAGAGGAAAGAACGTTACATGGAGGTGATGATTGCAAAATGGGAGAAGTTTACAGACTTAATTGATGTGCTGGCTATTTTACGGCTTAACTCTGGGCAGAGGAAGGATTTCACTGACTTCTGCAACATGTGGGGTTAATTCCATTTCAGAAGTAGAGAAGACACAGAAAGAAAATTCATAATTCAAACAAAGATGTTTATCTCATAGACTAAACTGAGATGTTAATCAATTTAAAATCCAGATTTTATCCAGGCAAATTACAGTGAAATGATCTAAAACTTAGTGATGGAGAAAATGTCTATGTCACTGCTTCCAATCAACGTTCCAATATTAAGTTAAAATGTGGTGCCCTCCATTGGCAGAAATGTAATAGGCAGCCATCCTCTATCTAGAATTATTTTTAAAGGATGCTTTCTTTGGTCTCTGGCAATAATGCAGTGTCCTTTTTTCTAAAAATGCTAAGAACTTCCCGATTCCTGGTTCCAACTGTCAGTGGAGATAAAGAAATAATGGGCTTAGATCCAGTCAAGCTGTCTCCCCTCTTTTCTTCTGAAGCTGTCTCCATGTGGTACTTCTTTTTAGGTAGATCAGGATCTTGTAGATCACCTTCATTTGTGCCTGTAGGTGTGACATCTGGAGACATAGGTAATGGAGATTATTAGCATGCAATAGATTCAGTAGTGGTTCTCATTTGTATTCAATCGTATTCATTATGGGTTTTCTGCCACTTGCGTTTTTCTATCTGGTCTTTTTCTACTCAAGAGTGTTCCAACAGTTGATTATTTTCTGCTCTCTTAGAGGATGCTAATCAACTCTCATTTCTAAGTATAACAAATTCTCAAACACTTTTGTTGCAATTTTGCCCAGGTCAAGCAGTATTTTTCACGGGCCACTTTATAGCAACTGGGTAACGTTTCTGTGGTGATGTAAGCAGTTAAATGCCTCTTATCCTATAATGGAGTAAAGCACCATTAAAGAAGGAGTCTCATTTTCTATACTCAGTAATAAACTCATGCATGAAGCCACTACTGAAATTGTAAGAAGGCTGTTCCAGTATTGAGTGAACAATCCAACAAAATGGTGGAACGAAGGAAGGGAGGGAGGGAGGGAGGAAGAGAAGGAGGGAGGGAGGGAGAGAAAGAGGAAAGGAGGGACAGAAGAAATGAGGGAGGGAAGGAGGGCAGAAGAAACGAGGGAGGGAGGGAGGGACAGAAAACACGAGGGATAGAGGGAGGAAAGAAGGGAGATCAAGTTTCAACAAAAAAAGACTGAAAATATCTAATATATTATATGTAAAATCTAAATGTCTTTCTTTCTCCTTTTCTGCTCCTCAAATGTGTGTGTGTGTGTGTGTGTGTGTGTGTATGTATATATGTTTTAAGTGTTTTTTTTTCCGATGCACCCAGTCACCCCAAATATGGGATTTCTTCTTTTGCCTGTATCATTCCCAATCTAGGGCTATCCCCAGGCAGCAGTTGCTACTGCGAGACTGGTATAGCTATTTCGAGCTACTTAGCTCTCATCAGCCAGCCACACCCTTCTGAGATTCGAACTTGGGCTGCTTGCACATTAGGCAGCTGTGTTGACCTCTAGGCCACAGACTCTTTCTGACTTTGTCAGCTGTGTCAGGGAGGGAAGAGACCAGGAGAGGAGATATGTCTTAAGTGTTTGTTTTTTTTCTGATGCACCCGGTCAGCCCAAATATGGGAAGAAGAAAGAAGAAAAGCAATGGAAGATATGGAAAAAAAGAAAGTGGAGTGGAAGAAGATGATGAATTTCCAGAAAATGGTGTGCCACAACAGCCCTTCTAATTCAGTGGCAAAGGGGGGGGGGATTCCTGCAACATCTGGAAGGTGTGAAGGAGAATCAAGCCAAGTGGCTGTAGAAACCAAATAGTGCTAAGTCGTCATGTTCAAAAGACAGACCTGGCCCCAAAGAAACAGAGCTGAAAAAAGTAGTCAAAGTGTTTTCTTTCCCTGGTTAAGAAGGAAATGGTAGTTTCGAGTAAATTAAATAGCCAGTAGGTCTTTCTCGTTTTCTTTTTCCCCACCCCCTTCCCCATCTTTGAAAGAACAAGTACAGTAGGAAATTGAAAATGAAAGACAAACGGCTCTAATGTAAAAAAGCAGGGTAATCAATAAGATTAAGGATAGGAATGGCCCCGGGGATACGTGAAGGAACCTAGATGTTAATTAACTTAGACATTAGTACAGGAGCAAACTCTTTGGGAATACTAATAATAGGAACAGAGCTCAAAGTAAGAGCTGTAAGATTACTTTAGGACATTATTAGGATACAGATCTGTACACAAGAAGAAAGAGCAGTTTATACTGAAGGCACAGAAACAGATTATTCACTCGGTTATGCTCTGCAATGATAAATAGAACATTGGTTGATGGAAACATGCCATGCAACATCTGGATAGTCTATATGTGTTGCCAGCCATGATAGGATAAGGAGCAGATTATGGCATCATATGTTCTTAGGAAATATGAAAGAAGAGGAATTTTGTGATTCAAAGGATGGAATAGGGGCTCAAAATTCTACTTATTACCTAAACATCATTCATACACATAAGAAATGTTGTATATAATCAGTTTTCCATAATACAGTTATTGTTCAGTAGGATGTGGTAAGCAATATAATGCAATATTCAGGAAGTAATTGATGATTGAGGAGCCACTTGTTTTGGGCTACTGCATTGTATCCAGATGTGGCCCTGTATATCTTTTGCTTGTGGATTTGCAGTTATAGCCAATTGTTATCTGTCAGCACAAGGAAGGAAGGAAGGAAGGAAGGAAGGAAGGAAGGAAGGAAGGAAGGAAGGAAGGAAGGAGGAAGGAAGGAAATGTTTTCCACAGAGTCGGGAGATGCGTGATGCTGAGAAGATCCATCAGTGTGTGTTTCTTCTGTTTCATTAGCATCATTTCCTAGGCCAGAAATCCCCAACCTTTTGAACACCAGGGACAGGTTCCATGGAGAGAGGTTTTTCTGCGGACCAGAGGGGGCATGGCTTCATGTACTGCCTGCATCCCATGGATGGGGCTTTGCTTGTTTGCACAGACCAGTTTCTGGCATGCTGTGGCCCGGTGCCAGTCCACAGACTGGGGACCTAGGCCCGTGGTGGCGAACCTATGGCACACATGCCACAGGTGGCATGCAGAGCCCTCTGTGGGCACGCACGCCATCGCCCCACTCCTAGGCCTTCAGCTGGGTTTTATAAAACCTTTTCACTTTAGGCCTCCACCGCCATGTACAAAAAAAAAAGGTTCAATCAATCAATCAATCAATCAATTTCAACTTCTCGTGGGAAAAAAAGATCTCGCAAAGTTGGAATTGATTGATTGAACTTTTTAGTCCCACCCAGTCTACCGTTACCACCACAGCCATGCCCACTCAATTGGCCACGCCACCCAATTGGCTACACCACCCAATTGACCATGCCCACCTAATTGGCCATACCCACTCAATGGGCCAGGCCCATCAGGCAACTCAATGATACATAAATGGGTTTTGGGTTGCTGTTTGGGCACTCGGTCTCTAAAAGGTTCGCCATCACTGACCTAGGCAGTTTCACAAGGCAGTCTTGCCTCCGAAACCCTTCTAAATATCTCCTAGATAGTTCTCCAACTGGAATTTCTGTCTATGCCCAAACAGCACAGCCTTTCCCATAGCAGCATTCAGCAAGCAAAATGTATCATGCTACAACTTTAAACATATTGCCTGAACACCTGTCCTTAAAGCCGTCACAGAAAAAAATGAATTTTTGTGCAGAAAAGGGTCAGCTCTCCATGTCAGGTGTTCTGCAAGTGGGTGGGAGAAATTGACAGAACGTAATGTCTTTTCAGTTCTACTTAGTCACCTTTTTGACCTTTGTATAAAAATGGTAGTATTTCTATTTCAGATCAGAGGAAGACTCAATAGCTCTGGTCCAACAAGGAATGCAAAGCAGGAGTCTCGCTCCCTGTTCTAATGCCAGAATCTCACATTTCTATTATTCCAATTTGTCTCAGTGATGTTTAAACTTTTAATACTCCATATAAATACTATATAAGAAAGCAATTCCATGGATCCAGAGGACATCATCACTCAGAAATAATGGCACAATCTAGTCAAAGGTAAACACTTTATTTAAAGGCAATGCAAGGCAGTAGAATGTCTCTTTAATTTTCCAAGAAAATCTATTTTGTCCACATCTGATATTTTCAATTGTTTTGGGGTTTTGTTTTGTTTTGTTTTGTTTGAGTGTGGAAGGCGGGTGAGGCCACACATTTTATATAGCTGCAAACTTTACACATTATAATTTATTGTGTCAGGCACCTCTGATTCACCTAAACCCCACCTTGATTGGGGGCCATTTCGTCTTCACTAGCCCCAATTTCCAACTCTTTCCTGGACAGAGTTACATCCACACCAGATAACCTCTAAGGAAGGTAGAGGTTGGTTTTATGGTTAGCCAAGTGGTTCTACAATGATAAATGCAAACGGGATGAAGGGGACAAATGCAAGCACATCCTTTCAGGCATGCTCAAGTCTGGTTCGCAAAGATTATTGGGACTTTAATGGGGAGGTGTCATGTTTCAGAATTAGAGTTTTCCCCATGTGTGGTAGATCCTCATGTGTATAAACAACAACATGGCTAGCTAGAAATATTCAAGTTTTTTTAGCAGATATGATGGAATGCAGTAAGAAAGTGGAAGTGGGGGGTGCATTCCAGAGAAATAAGAGACAACTCAGTTTGAGTATGAGAGAAAGAGGATGAAATCTTATCCTCCCTAATAGTTTTAGATGCAGATAGTAGAGCCCTCAATCTATCAAGATATTCTCTGTATGTAAGTTTGAAACAATAAAGAACGCAGCTAGGAGGAATTGCCATGTGTCATTCTTGGTTTTGGACCTAACATCAGCAAAACAGTGACATACATACATTTAGCTTGTACAGAGATTTAACTATCTGCAATCCAACTTTTTAAATTGTATCTTAGTGTATTTATGTGTGTGTATGTATTTGTATATGTATGCATATGTTGGTGTATATCTCTACCTCTCTATTTTGTGTGCGTGTGTTTCATTCTAGGAAAATTGTCTTAGTACATTATTGAGAAGTGTGTTTATGATTTCAGTCTAAGTTCAGAAAAGACCATTGGCATATTATCTGAGTGTCTTATTGTGAATATCACAAGCCAATCTAAGACTGACATCTCCCTTGGCCCCTAAAGCAGTATAAGAGTAGGAGGAAGGGGTGGAGGAGAAGAAGGAGAAGGATCTGTGACTGAAGGCCAATACGATTAGACAGGAGACTATCAATATCTTTGTTGATGTCATGGCCCAGGCCCAGGATTCAGACTCTGAATCTGATTCTGAGGATGCTGCTTCAGCTGAACCTGTGGAATGGCAGTCTCAAGAGACACCAAGCCAAGAATCACATGAAGCTGGACAGGCAGCTGGAACAGTCAAATGAGGATGGCTTAAGCCCCATAGTTCCTGTGCCTGACAAGTAAATAGGAGAGCAGGGATGTTCTTTAACACTTCTTGCAAAGCAAGGGAGTAAATCTCTTGATTAGTGACAGCTGGCTGCAGCCTGATTTAAGAAGCAACCCTGACCCACATTCCCTTTGCTGAAAACAATATTTGATCTCCAACTCTTACATGATATTGCTAGGACTCCTGTTCATGTCAGAAACCTTGAACCTCTGACTTCTAGGCTGGCTGCCAACCCTGACCTGGGTCTCAGCTTTGGACTGATTTTGGACTATTCTTCTGCATATTCCTTTTAAAAGTAAATCATTCAGCCATGCTTTGACCGTGGTTATCTCTTTGACCTTGAGTGAACTATGAGTTATCATAGCAACTATGAGTCGGTATTTGAAATCTGAAACAGGACAGTTGATAGTTTTAAAAGACAACACCAAACTTATACCAGACTTGTTAGGTACTACTTTTTGGCATAAAAATCAAAATGTAGTAGTAGCAACGGCTACTTGTACACAGATGTCTACTGCCAGTTATGATACTTTTGAAGACACCCATGCATTCACATGCATGCTGTGACTACCCAACTTTCTATTCAGGTTGGTATTATAACTATTAATGCAAAGCTATTGAAGCAAGTGGTAAGTGCATTTCAATGTGATTAAGTATATTAAAAAATCTGTCTTAGTAAAACATACTTTCCCTTAATTTGTTGGGGCCTTGAGTTAGTCAACCGGTGATGATTAGTCTAGGGAAACAGCTTATTTCTGCTTTGTGTGAATAATTGTCATTTCCCAGCTGACTCATGCATCTACAGGTATTAAAAAAACCCAGAGAAAATCCCTAGTGGCTTTTCTTTCAGTTTATATATTTCCATCTAATTTTTTACCAGCTAATGTTCTTTGAGCCACTCCAAATCAACTTCTAAGGAGAATTATTAATTAAGGAGACTGCAGATGGAGTAAGTCTTCCCCCTCCCTCCGTTCCCATCCACCTTTTCTCCTCAAACTCCACAGGAAGAAACAGTCTGCACTCAAACAATGACAAGTTGTGCCTCAGACAAATTAGAGCTGTTCAAAATAAAAGAGGAAGACATCCTACCTTGCAGCTGGATTTTCAAAAGAAGTCTCACTTGACAGGATCACCTATCCATCCAAGTGGCATGATTTTTATAAGTCCCCACTAAAACCTTAGTCAGACCATCTTTCAATATCTGGGATCCAAATTCAGGCACAATGGCTGAGCAATCCTGGCAGTCTTTCCTTTAAATCACTTAATTTTCCTAGCAGGTGCCTGGGGGCTAAACTCACAAGAAGAACAGGTTTGTCAGGCAAGTGAAGCTTTCAGACAGCCAAAGTTATGCTTCAGTTCACTGCACAGGCCCCTTGAAATCAAGCTGTCTGAATGTACACTAAGTCAAAGAATGAGATATGGTAACCTGACAAGCAGTGTGTATGTTCTAGCCCTTTACTCCTTTCGTCAATATACCTACATTTTATTCCAAGCCCGTGGAGGCTTTACATCATGGATCCAGCAGCCCTTATTGATCAGGCAGGAAAAACAATTAAGGAATGTGATTAAGCCTCAGCTTTCTCACCAATGCTTTTAACTGTTTGATCCTTTCCAAACACAACATTCCCAGGGCTCTCTTGTATGTCCACATTACAGGCTTAAACGAGTTTAATAATGACAACTCTTTCCCCAAGGAACTGTCATTTGAAGAAAAGGAAGAAGGGATTCAAAAGCTCTCACCAACTTTAGGGAGGAAATTGGGAATGATCAAGAATCCTCAATCTTTCACCTATTCCTGGATAGAAGAAGGAGTGGTGGAACAAAAGTACCTCTGGGAGAATTTCTACCTGCATCCAGCATTTTAGGATTGGCTGTAGATATCTTTCTCTACATACTGAACTGTCCTTGGATGCCATGGCAGTGCAATGTTAAAGGTAGTAGACTAAGACTTGGGAGGTTCAAGCCCTCACTCAACCTTGGAGCTGGTGAATGACTTGAGTCTGCTTCTTCTGTCTTGCCCCAAGCTGCTTCGTAGGGCCGGGATGGAGAAAAAAAAATGCAGTGTGTCATGTTGAGCTTCTAGAGGCAAGGTAAGACTTCCATGCTATAAATAAATGCAATTAATTCCATTGCATACGAGAAATGTAAGGGATAGCTAAATCCAGGTGAATCTTCCCCACTGCCGACAATAAACAGCAATTAGACCACAATGCAAAGAAGCGGTTGTATAACAGGAACATTGTCCAGTGCCTCTTCATACATGGCTTGGCCCTCTGATCTGGACAAGTACTTCTCTTCCTTGATCCATTCTAAGCATTTTTTACTGAGAGGTTAGGCAATGCTCCATCTGTTCTTGCACAAACAGGGTGAGGATTGTAAAAGAGACAGAAGGTCCATGTCCGTCAAATCATAGAGCTTCCTTTGTGCATTTTAGAAAACTTCATTGGTCTACCTAAACAATTGAAATGGTCAAAAATGTCTTCTTAACTACCTACTGCTTCTTCATGACATTTCTCCTCTCTCAAAGGATAAAAAATAGGAAAAGTCAGGGATAATCCTGACTGGGATCCTCCAGTTCATTCAGTGGGAGCTATATTTAGCAGAGCAGAAGTGTGTTTTTCACTTGGGTGTCATCCTGAAACAGATGTGAGGGAGGGAGGGGGGAGGAAGAAAGGAAGGAAGGAAGGAAGGAAGGAAGGAAGGAAGGAAGGAAGGAAGGAAGGAAGGAAGGAAGGAAGGAAGGAAGGAAGGAAGGGAAACTTTCAGCACATCAATCTTCTAATCAGTGGAAATCATAGCAGAGGCAAAAAGAACAACATGGAATTCCTTGCTTGTTATCTCTAGTCCCAGGGCCTCTCATGGTTCCACAGGATAAAAAATAATAATAAAAGTCAAATTATTTTCCCACAGTGGCCCATGCTCCCAGAAATATCTCAGAACTTCTCCCAAGAACAACTATAATCTGAAATAGTCAGGCACGGGGGAGAGGGAACTGGATTTACTACCGCCCCTTTCACTTCCTGTATAATAACCATGAATAGGGTTTACTTTCTATGTAGTTCTAGGATGTTTACTTGCAAAGAAATGAGACCAAGTCATCATTTGGTTCTAGAGAATGACTATGATTTGCCAACTTTTACTGACAAACTTATTATAGACTTATAGGGTACTAGTTTAGTCATTGGCTTTTATTTGACCACTGTGCCTGGGGGGGCATCAAGGCATTTCAAAATTCAATGGCCTTATGCCAAGCAAAATAGTTAAACTCCAAGAGCGTAGCGCATGGAGTTTGTACTGGCTTTTCTACATAAGGGAAATAATATGAAAAATAATGTCACTTCTAGACTGGGAATCCATTATCTTCAGAGCTATAATATTAGGACTATTGTACTTTGGTTCCAAAAATCTGGATGATTACTAGATAGCAGTAAATCACTAGATGCTGTCAGCTAGTGGCTATATAAGTTTCTGCAGGCCAGTTGTGTCATCTCAAATAACAGGCCCAGGTTCCCAGTTTTGGGAAAATGAGATACTACAGTAATGAAAAAAGGTTTTCTTTTTGATTTTCATAGCGGCTGATTTCTTATTTTTGCCTGTTGCCTTTGGGTATTCTTAGCAGAAGGTGTAAAAATATTATTTCTTCCCAAATGTGATTTGTGGGAATTATAAGCCATCGGCAGCTCAGCCACTTTATCTAACTTTGGGTGCATTCCTCCTTCTCAGGAAACAGCAAATCATCCAGTGGATACATTTTATACTCTCTCACTAATGCTTTAGTTTAAGTGGAGCAGTTTAGTTTTTCTTGTAGCAAAAAATGGCAGCGGCACACTTAGGTGAGAGATGGTGTCATGTCTTCATTGAGAGATTCATGGTTGAGCATAAACCCTAAGCGTCAAAGAAATGGTTGGCTCCAAGAAGACTCAACAATAAGTTAGAAAATCTTAGCTTTTTACAAGCCTTACAACTAAATCAAAAGATTGAGGCCAAAGGGCCAGCTAACTCCAGGGAACAGGATCCATAGCAAAATACTTGCCTGAGAAACAGACTTCCTTATGAGGAGTTATATCAGAATGACAATTGACTTACCAGGAAGACCCTGGTTTTTCACTGCTAGGTTTGAAAAGTTGCTTCAGAAGTCTATTTTAAAATTCTGGAAACATGTGGATGAATTGAGATTTGCCTGGGCTCCTGATTCTTCTTCTTTGGACTCCCCCCAAGAGCAAGGGTTTTCAATGAGGCCTGGCAACTTTAAGACCTGTGGACTTCAATTCCCAGAATTCCCCAGCCAGCCATGCTGGTTGGGGAATTCTGGGAGTTGAAGTCCACAGGTTTTAAAGTTGCCAGGACTGGATACTCTTGATCCAGACTTTCCTTTCAGTTCTGTCTTGGATCAGTCACCATACCCAACTGCTTGATCTCAGTCTCTTTTCTATTGTGTTTTCCATTCACTGTTTACTGCTGGTCACACTTGCATCAGAACAGAGTACCAAATGCCTTAAAGAAAATGCTGGAATGAAGCATTTGAGGCAGTGGCGGGATTCAGCCAGTTCTCACCACTTTGGCAGAACAGGTAGCTAATTTTTTGTTGCCCAGGTTCAGAATGGATTTCCAGAAGCGGCATCCATACAGAGAACCAGTTGTTCACATATTTGAATCCCACCACTGGTTTGAGGTTAGTCATAAGTTCAATTAAATCAATCAAACTCCTGACCAATTTGAGGCAAATGGAAAAGCAATCATACATCACCAAAGCCAGAAAGTAGTAAAAAAAAAAAAGCTCTATATATCTGAAATGGATCTGATTGCAATCACCTCATCCACTTAAAAATAATGCTTTTGTGATTGCCTTTCAGCATCAAAGAGAGGATTATTGCTGGCCAAAACAAATGCAGCACAGAGTCATCAAACAAAGTTTCAGATATAGCTGAAAGCGAAGAAACAAAGTCCTTCCTTTTTACTGCTTTGTATCGTGTTTTCCCCACTTCTGGAAGCATACGCTTCTTTGTACCAGGCAAATTAGATCTTTTGGAAGGATGGGGTTTCCAATACCCACTGAAAAATAACACTAGTTCTGCACTAAAGTTTTTACCCAAACAGAAATAGTGGCATTTTCAGGGTTTTAATTCCAAGGCTAAATAGGAGAGGAAAATTAAGAGCTAGTTTGGCAAAATTTTGGTAGCCAGTGGCTATAGGTAGTCCTCAACATACAACCACAGTTAAGCCCAAAATTTCCATTGCTAAGCAAGAGTGAATTTTGCCCCATTTTACGACCTGTCTTGCCACAGTTGTTAAGTATCACTGTAGTTGTTAAATTAGGAACCCGGTTGTAAAGTCGATCTGGCTTCCCCATTGACTTTGCTTGTTAGAAGTTCACGAAAGTTGATCACATGATCCCGGGACACTGCAACCGTCAAACAATACATGCCAGTTGCCAAGCATCCCAAATTTTGATCATGTGACCACAGCAGTGTTACAACAGTCGTAAGGTGAAAAATGATCAATACGTCGTTTTTTCAGGGCTATTGTAACTTTGAACGGTCACTAAAGGAATGGTTGTATGTTGAGGACCACCTGTATTTTGAAGGTTTCAAAGTAGGTAGAGGTACATCACATGGATTTTGTGGAAGAGTGTTTTTTTTATATGTGAATATGCCTCATTTTAGGCTTCCACTGAAGGTGTTAACTGATGCCCACTTCCACATAATTAAGAGGGCTAAAGATAGAGCTGGATTCAGACATGGTAAGGCCTAAAACTACTGGAAGCCTCCATTAGGCAAAAGTAAACCCCAAATAAAATCATACAGTAACTGAATTTGGCAAAAACATGCCCAGCATGAGTAATGAGATTATGATGCATAGGGAAGGACATGAATACATGCATAAACAAAAGCATATTTTAACCAACTAATGAAGGACATCCAAACTTAATTTAGTGAGGGGGGGCTTAATTTATGATGATGTTCATATATGAACTAATAACCAAAGTATAAAACAAATGGGGGGGGGGGAATCTGAAATGTTGAGAGACCATGAAACCCTAAGCTGTAGCTTGCTTAATTTATACCTAAATCCCGCTCTGTTGCAGACCCCCAAATAAGTAAACTCACAGTTTGCAAATTGCCCGCTTCTGTTCTACAGAGATTCTCCTTCAACTGAGCATCTTTGATCATTCACCATCCCTTCACACATGAAATTACTATATTTAATGGTAAAATCTCACTAGCGTCCATGCCCTTATTCTGTGGGGCCAATTAAATCATTGTATTCCAAGTAAGAACTTTGAAAATTAGCATAAAAACTGTGTACCGACAGCCCAAATCTACCGACTAACTTGATGCAATAAAGAATGTAATAATGCAGCTCATTGTGCCCTGGTGTGCAATTGTTTTATCAACAGCTGGGCGAAAGGAAAAGAATTCTCACTACTATTTCTAAATGTATACTTAGCTTATCATGGCATACCCAGCATGCCTCTGCCTAAAATAATTTTTGGATTCTCCATCATCTTCCTGTCAGCAATGGAACAGAGATCTCC